ACGCACGACGCCGGACGAAAAGCGATTGGAATAGGTCACTTGAGCAAAGCTCAGGTGACCTAAAAACATTATATTTCTCTTATATAAGACCTGTGCTAGAAAATTCTGATATAGTATGGCATAATTGTACCAAATCTGAATCAGATCTTTTAGAATCAGTTCAACTAGAAGCTATGCGTTTAATTACTGGCCTCAGACGAGGTACTCATCATCACATTCTGTATACTGAAACACAACTTGAAACATTACACACACGAAGACAAAATCATAAACTAACATTAATGTATAAGATTCTTAATAATTACACACCAACTTATCTCGATAATATCATTAAACCATTTCTAAATGTAAATAATAACTATACCTTCAGAAATAACAGATTCTTTAATATACCACAGACAAGAACTACTACTTTAATTAATATATGAATAGTGTCTTCCCTTCTATAATGGTAAAATGGAATGCACTTGATAGCACTGTACGAGACTCCATCTCAATTTCATCTTTTAAAAAGAAACTTAAAAAAACTTTGATACATCTGTCTCGGAAACTTTTATTAACGGTTTTCAGAGGAAACTTAACATCATTTTACGTCGGCTAAGAAATTTTAAAAGTGATCTTAACTTTGATAAGTTACAAGACCATCTGATTGATGATGCTTCCTGTGTATGTGGTGTACAGAGGGAAGATCTAATACATTTTTTCTTTCAACGTCCTCTGTATTCAAATATTAGGCATCATATTACTACTATTTATAATCGATTATGATATTCAAATCTGCACTGTTTAGTATATGGTATTAGTAATGCATCGGACCAATTAAATAAAACTATTCTTATAAATGTCGACTCTTATATTAAATCATCAAAACATTTCGTTACTTATACGTGCTAGATAAATTCCAAATGAATATTCATGTATTGTTTTTATTATTATTATTATTCAGGCAAGTTTTGTCCCTTAAATAACGAGTATTAGACATAAGCTGGTGTGGGTGTGCATGTGTTTGAGAGGAAAACGAATTACAAATTTTTATATATTTAAGCATTGTACTGATACCGGAAATAGAAGACTGATAAAGGCAAAGCCTGTTGTCTTATTCTTTTGTCAATACTGTTCTGATATCTTCTTTAATGTTAAATTATGTTTGTATTATATATGTATTGTCAATAAAATACTTTTGAAATTGAAAAATATAAAAAATGTCTCGTCGTCAGAAAGCTACGTTATCGCAGCTACTGAAGACTTGTGACTATTCCGACGACAAGGAATACAGCTTGGAAGCAGGTGTCTTTAGAGCAATGTGCAGGGAAGGATTCATTGAGGAATAGAAATAATAAATTATTGGTCCTTCTTTGTGTTTTTTCTTTACTTTTTACAATACAAATTTGTTAAAAATATTTGGGCTTGCACTATATCATTAGGGCCAGTAATCCTGCATTTTTACTTGACTAATTTTTTTTCCAGACACTGCTAGCATCAATAGATACATTCAGTATTAGATTTTTAATGAAATCAGCTTATATTTAAAACAAATCGAAATTCCATGCGAAACATACACATATGAACTATAAATTCATGCTATATAACCTGCACGAGACAGTAAAAACAACTTTCTTTTTCTCATAATGAAATCAGATTGTAAATAAAAACCGTAAGCTTCTATGTCAAATTACACGTATAAGAACGGTGATTTTTTTAGGTAGGTCCGAATTATTAATATACAGTACGTGTGCGCTGAAATCTGTTTCTTCTGTTTCTGGTAAGCAGCATTCGAATGAAAAACATTTGCCCCTCCGACTTCTCTGTCAAATTTTCCATCATGGCGGACGACAAAATATCACTGTCCTGCGATTCAAAATTTACTTATTTAACGCTTTATTGTGTATATATTCATATTTAAAGCGAAACACACGTTAACCGTTAACCTTCTTACCTTCGTGATTCGTTTTAATGCCATGCCTGAATATTGTTTTGAATGATTATAAGCCTGAATTGAATGAGCAGAAAATAGGTTCCTTGCTCGTTTTCTGTCGAACCGGAAGTAATCGTTACGCATGTATAAAGTACCGAGACAGCGCCATCTGAGTGCAGTGATGGAATAATGTTCTTAGCAACACAACAAGCACCTGCCACGTTTTCCCGCGGAACTTCCTCAAAATTATTTATGGTGAAATGATTTCTTAAACAAAAGGGAGATGTTTCTACCCATTATGTATTCATTAATGACTATCATTTTTCAAGAGGTCTAGGAACATAGATTTAGATCATAATACCATCAATAATATCGGAGACGTATATATCCTATTACTTTGCAAGTATTGTAACAACCTAGAAATATGATCAAATAATGAATTTCTCGATACTTTCTTGACATTGTGTAAAGAACAAAAACGGAGTTTGTGTTCTCCTGAAGCCAGAATCATTGCCGATATGTAAACAGTCGTATATATCCAATATGGCGCAGGTGAAGCGTAACTTGCGATATGACTGCATCCGGTTACCGTGACCAATTCTCTGTAATATATACGTCTCTGACAATAAATATGACGTCTTATATCCCATTATCGTCGTTCTAATTTAATAGATGTTGCATCACTATTTATTTATTTCTATAAAACAAAGTTATGAGTACCTGTCAGGGGAACTATAACTGGGAACAATATATATTCGTAGTTCAATATCAACTATTATACCAGTCGCGTATATATTATACATCTCTGATTATACCTATTTAATTGAATCACTTGAGACTATCTACAATACACCTCTTCTATAGCGTTTATGTTTTAAACAACTGGGTTTCTATTTTCTCTCCATTGTCATCTTGTTGTTTCAAGTTTCCACATGACCAGAACTGTAGGGGAAGATATATTTTATTGGTGTCTGTTTTGTTTTTTATTACGTTAAACCCCAGTCTTGTAACGTCTACCTTGGGATTTGATGTTGTTAAGTTTCGTTTTAAATCTAATATAATGAAAGTTTAAATGTATTCTAATTCTTTTTTAGCTGTGTACCAAATTTCATCGAAATCGGACGATAAAATAAAATTGGGAAAATAAATTTTAAAAAGTCACATAAAAGTTACTACAGCATACCACGTCTCTAAACTTGTGATCAATAGATAACTGATTTTCGTCCTTACACATTTATTTCCACACACATGCTAGTCGATAAATTGTAGTTAACACCAATGTGTGCATTCTGAAAAGGAGTAATATTAAATGTTTGGGGACCTCACACGTCCTGTTTTGAAACTAGACGTACGTCATATACGCATTGAGGCTGAGTCATAGGCGGACACAATAACACGACATTCTGATCTCGTTCTAATCGAGATTTTGTAGACACACGATCTCGTATGTAATAGAGCACGTGACTAATCTTCACATTGTGACTAAAGTATAAATATACATCCGTGCAATTAAGAAAAATCGTCTACTTTAACCGAATGATTATAGTATGGACAAATGTCATTGATATAACATTTACAAGTCTGACCAGAGGCAGCTTGATTTGCATGAAACTGACGCATATAGACACCCATACAATATGATAATAATGCTCGGGCAAATGCAAGATGGCGGCCACATTCCAGAATTTTCTTTGTATACTTCTCGAAATGTGACGTGAATACACAAACTTAACCTTTCGGAAGTTGATAGAAATATAATGTAATCAAACGTTTCCACTAAATTATAAAACACGAGTCATAAACCTTCTGAAAACCAAGATGTTGCGTTGTAAGTCAATATGTGTCACCAGTGTAATTACACACAATACAAGAGTATAGGATACGTGTCACCAGCGTAATTACACTGTACAAGAGTATATGGTATTGCTGAAAGAAAAGCTGTACCTTATTGATTCGTTTCAGTGCCATTTTTCTCCTGAAGATGTATAGTATTATTGTCCTAGTTATAATATTCCATGAAATATATGAGCCCGGTTATTTCCGGGCTGTATGGCCGCTGTTAATGCTGTATATTGAGGTGTAACCGAGTTCAACCAATCAATGCGTAGCTGATATCGCTCCCACTCAGGAAAAGGTACGATCGACGGGTTCGTCACGGTCGACACACTTACAACAACGGTATACCCATACTGCTCAGGCAACGGAGCTGGTTCAGGAACTTATATTTACCCTGAACTTTAAGCAAATCGGTACGAGGGACATAGCGCATGTACAGTACACCGATACAGATCAAACCGTTACTTATACGTACTTAGCTGAGGTATCGTGATTGCTAAGAGTATTTAGCTGAATTATTTTAACAACGTAGAAATGTACCATTGACAGTCTTTACAATCTTTATGAGAGAATGATTAATAAGACAATTTTATACCCCTACCCCCCTTGCACATTTTGCACATCTTCAAGTTTCTATATGATTTATTTTTGTAAATGGGCATGTACCTGATTCTAGTGGCCTGTACCCCGTACCCTGTTGTACGTTTTCGTATCACTGCATAGTGGATAACATCGTTTCTGGTGTTTAAAAAAAGAATCGTTGAACTCACAAATCGAATTTATTTAAACTTTGATTGATAATACCCGAAATGAAATTGTATTTTATTATGCAAGCAAACAAATTGTTTTGCTACAATACACAACAAAGTCTTGCGAAGCTGAACGAATCAATGAATTGTTTCAGTCTACGCTGTACCCTGTACCCCGTACCCTGTGTTTTCACAGCACAATACATTCGATACGATATGTACCTTGATACACATATCTGACTTTAAGAGATTACAGTATATGTTTTCGGTGTTTTATACAGATGTCATAGCTTTACGTTGTAAATGCATGGCTAATACTGTTCAAGTATATCTTTGTTCGAACTGAATTACGTATTTTGTATCACTGCAGAGTTGATAAAAATGGTTTCGGACGTATTAAAAAAGAATAGGTGAAGAAATTATTAAAGAATTGATTGATACTTTATTTGTATGCTGACAAACAAACTACAGTCAAACCTGCTTGAGCGGTCACCTGAAATAAGTAGCCACCTTATGTGGTCAGTCTGTGGTCCGCCCGATATAAAAAAATATATACAATGAACCTGAAATAAGCAGTCACCTGTCTAATGCAATCAGAGGTCACACAAATCTGGCCCGAGACGTTATCTCTACATGTATCCAGCGGTCATTTTGTCCAGAAATTGACATCAAGAAGATCACAATATATTAACAAGAACACATCTCAATAGAGCAAAGCTAATTACAATGTGTAATTAAAAATCAAAAACCATAGGTAAGTTTGACACGTGGAATTGACAAGTTGTTTACACAGCGATTTTCAGCTTGCAAATTGGGACAGATCCTACCGACCAATATACTCCCACCTTGTGTACTCAATCAGCTTGTGATTTTCAAAACAAGTATGATCTTTTGTAGTACCTATACATACTGTATCCAACGCTACTCAGGCCTAATATGTTATGTGATCAAAAAACTTGCCGCTTAGTGCATGCGGAAAACAGATCTGCTTCCCATCTGATATTACAGTCCTGTCCTTTGAAGATTACAAAGGAGAGACGCCCGACTTCAAAGTCTGTCAATTTTTACCGTTACGTGACCGCGAGATTATTTTGATGTACATCAAAGGATCGAACTAGTATTCTTGTCTCATCAACAAGGTCGCGCACACGGAGCCTTCAATTTTGCTATGACATACTCCAGGGGTGCAAAGAGCGAAAGTGAGCGTAACCCCTGGATATCGAGGATGTCAGCTCGTATGCAAGCATAAACAAATGATTGCGTACGTAAGAACATATGAACGTAATTGGAGTTAAAAGAGAAGGGTAACATATTACATTCGCCGTCATAGTTGAAACACTGATTAAGGTCAAGATTTTAGTGCGGCTTTCAAACGTCATATTATGACGTCAACATTGTATGCAAAGATATAATTACGTTTTCTCAAGACGTCAGACTAAATTCCAAATATTTTATTAGTACACCAATTCGCACTATAAAAATGATATTACCCTCGTACAGATTTTAGAAAATTAATATATATGAAGTTTCGAAATGTATTATGGGTGTTCTTTTTCGTGCGCACAATTCTAATCTGTTATGTACAATGTAGATAGGTTGCATGGCGAGATAATAAGTCGAGCGCTTGACATAATAAGTCGAGCGCACGAGATAATTAATGTAGACAATAAAAGTGTGCATGTCCTAAATGTACCTCCGTACTACGAGATATCTCTAAAAACAATCAATGAGTGTAATATTCTTTGTGATCGGAACTCAATGCAACCTTCACAAATACATGTATGCATACATGTATGTGACATTACATATATTTTACAACGATTGTGTGACTACAATGCAATTAATAAGATCAAGACACTTAAATTCGCACTGGCGTTCGGAGTTTCGATTTCATTTGATGAGATTGTAAAATAATACAATCATTGGCTAACGATAAAGCTAAATCGTGGACGTATCTAGCGCACTGAAACCGATATAACAGGAAAGTAATTAATTTGTGCAGATACTTTATTACCAAAAATCACTTTTAAAAATATCTCAGTTTTTGGTCTGGACACAAACTAGTACAGCTTAATGTATATGACACCAGTGAAATACTATATAACAAAGGAATTACTCAGGGGGACAGATCATAAAGCTTCCCAGTTTAAACCTGTAGGTAGATATGTTAGAAGTGAAACAGCTTGAAACAGAGACACATTCACAGAGAATTTGTTATGAACTTTTAAATACTATAATATTTCTATTTCGGTTGCATATATATAATGATTACGAATGACATTGAATTTTACTAACTGAAAAAGGAACATTTTCGAACTCAGATATTAAAGTGCATACTATACGCTAAAATTAAAAATACACTTTTAAATTTTGTTATTCAGTAGTTTTTAAACCAGGTGACACTCTCCATATCATCCTTATCTTCTGTATTCATACAGCTTGTCTCAAATGCTCTAATATGTAGCGGTTCATATATAAATCATACCTTATCGTGTCTCACAGCCCATACACCATAAATCCTATATATGTCATACCTTACACGTGTTACACAGACCATACACCATAAATCCTATATATGTCATACCTTACACGTGTCACACAGACCATACACCATAAATACATGTATATGTCATACCTTACACGTGTCACACAGACCATACACCATAAATACATGTATATGTCATACCTTACACGTGTCACACAGACCATACACCATACATACATGTATATGTCATACCTTACACGTGTCACACAGACCATACACCATACATACATGTATATGTCATACCTTACACGTGTCACACAGACCATACACCATACATACATGTATATGTCATACCTTACACGTGTCACACAGACCATACACCATACATACATGTATATGTCATACCTTACACGTGTCACACAGACCATACACCATACATACATGTATATGTCATACCTTACACGTGTCACACAGACCATACACCATACATACATGTATATGTCATACCTTACACGTGTCACACAGACCATACACCATACATACATGTATATGTCATACCTTACACGTGTCACACAGACCATACACCATACATACATGTATATGTCATACCTTACACGTGTCACACAGACCATACACCATACATACATGTATATGTCATACCTTACACGTGTCACACAGACCATACACCATACATACATGTATATGTCATACCTTACACGTGTCACACAGACCATACACCATACATACATGTATATGTCATACCTTACACGTGTCACACAGACCATACACCATACATACATGTATATGTCATACCTTACACGTGTCACACAGACCATACACCATACATACATGTATATGTCATACCTTACACGTGTCACACAGACCATACACCATACATACATGTATATGTCATACCTTACACGTGTCACACAGACCATACACCATACATACATGTATATGTCATACCTTACACGTGTCACACAGACCATACACCATACATACATGTATATGTCATACCTTACACGTGTCACACAGACCATACACCATACATACATGTATATGTCATACCTTACACGTGTCACACAGACCATACACCATACATACATGTATATGTCATACTTTACACGTGTAACACATACCATACACCATACATACATGTATATGTCACACCTTACACGTGTCACACATCCCATATGTCGACATACATGTATATGTCACACCTTACCGTGTCACACAGATCATACACCATACATACATGTATATGTCATACCTTACACGTGTCACACATACCATACACCATAAATACATGTATATGTCATACCTTACACGTGTCACACAGTCAATACACCATGCATACATGTATATGTCACACCTTACACGTACATGCATATGTCACACCTTACACGTGGCACACAGTCCATACACCATACATACATGTATATGTCATACCTTACACGTGTCACACAGACCATACACCATACATACATGTATATGTTATACCTTACACGTGTCACACAGCCCATATGTCGACATACATGTAGCATTCAAAATTTCTGCTTAGTGTATGAATATGTCGTAAAACGTACTGCTTGAGTAGATAACAAATCCTTTCCCAAGGAAATATCACGCGTGATACAAATAATTAACTTGGTCTGCTCACCAATGTTTTTCTAGTTTCGGGTTAGTATGTCATCAGTATTACTATAGATACGGAAAGTAACAAGTCAACGTCACTTTTGAATATTGCAGGTAGGAAAAAAGAGCGACAGTTAGCGGCACGGTACCTTTAATGTTCAACATTTCCCATGAAAGATGCTTCAGTCACCCTAAACTTCATTTACTAGAAAGGTTATATGTAAATACCAAACTTGAAGATCCGAACCTGTGTACGTGTATGTAACTTCAATATATTGAATTTTAAGGCTAACAACTTTGTAAGAAATAGTTCACAGGATTTGTAACATATCGATCTCTTTAGCGACCCAAATGAATTTTACGAAATAAAATTTTGATTAAAGTTCATTCATTTACCAAGGTCATGTAGAGCTTAAAGGGACAATTTAGTGAAGTAAGTTTTTTAATAACCTTGT